AGATTATTAATCAAATTATATTTTTGGTATTGAAATTAATTAATAAAAATAAAATGTAAATAATCAGTAATACTCCGCTACCCACGGTGGGCACATGTTAATATGCCCACCGTTTATGTGACATGCACACATTGGTGATGTTAATATATTCAAAAAATACATCACCAACGTGTGCATGCCACATAAGTGGTGGACATATTAACATGTGTTCACTGTGGGTATGGGATCATTACTCTGTAATAATATAGAGCAAATATAGAGATAAAGATTGAAAATAAATGCTTCACTCTACTCTAGAATAGAGTAACTCTGCGCTAAAATAGAGATAATGATTGAAAATGGCCTTAGTCGTGCTATTTGTGGAACCGAAAGGAAAAGATTTAAGGCACACAAAGAGCAAAGTCATATGTTCCAAATTCCAATACTGCCAACTTTGTTCATAGGTATTTTCTTCAAAAGCCATTGTAATTACATTTACTTTTGACTCGATTGGTGTTGGGTAAAGGGAACTTGACCCGTAGCTCTCAAATGTGCATTATTGATTATACTTTTTTCCAGGCCAATGTGTTGTAAAGATATTGCTAACAAAAGGTGACGAAGACTGGTCTTTTCTTCTTCAATTAAAGCTTGACCAAGCATAATTTCATTGTATTCCTCTTTGAATTCCGTAGATAAAAGTGTCATATTAGATGTATGATCATGTATGATATAAAACATAGTGTAGCTCAGGTAAATCGACTAGAGTTAGTTTGAACAGTGGTCTCCAAATTACTCGGGTTAGTGGGTCTCTTCCTATTCAGAAAAGCGGACCCTAAGTAGCAAGAATAGCTAGCCCAACGTCAATAGCTCGTACAAACTAGGCTTATCTGTAGCTCGGACATAAGACGACACGAATAACATGACATGCAAGTAATTCGGACATTCGACAGTGAGGTGGTAGGAAACAAGTAGCTCAAACAACTTAGGTGTGTCCGTATAGCTCGGACATAAGATAACTCCGATACCATAACAGACAAGTAACTCGAACATTCGTCAGTGAGGTGCTAGGGAACCAGGTAGCTCTGATGAACCTAGGTGTGTCCATAGCTCGGAGAAAAGACAACTCGGTTAACATAATATACAAGTAACTCAGACATTCAACGGTAAAGTGTTAGGGAACCAAATAGCTCCGACAAACCTAGGTGTGTCCGTAGCTCAGACATAAGACAACTCATATAATATAACAGATCAGAGTTATACTGTAGATAGGGGACACATCTAGGGCTACAAGGGAACTAAACTAAATTATCCTATGAGTAAGAATTGGATTCGGGCATACCTAAGATAGCCAAATACCATCAGGCAGGCCCTCGGGTAGTCCGGGTACTCGAGCATGGACACTCAGAAAAGGTAAAGTTTGTTCAATAAGCCAGTGTTTCACTATTAATATGTGAGAGGGATGAAACATAAAACGTTAATGACTTTATACACTCTAAACTTTACAATACACTAGTGACGAGGGATTGATCTTGCATGAAATGAGTCCCTCTCCTTTTAGACAGTCGAGTTATCGACTCTACAATACAAATAGCTTTAGGTAGCACCATTTATTGTAAGAGTAATGCTATAGGTACATAATAGTGTACATAGAGGTGTGCATAACACTCACATTGTGAGACCCACCAAAAATAAAAAATCAAGTGGACCCTACTCCATGTGTGTGTTATGTACATCTCTATGTACATTTATTATGTACTTGTAGAATTTTCCTTATTGTAATACTTTACAAATTATTGGCTTTGTATCATATTACTTTTAATATAAGTATTACCAAAAACTAGCAAAAGTATCATATAAGTGTTATCAAAAACTACCAAAAGTATTACCTTTGACTTTAGGTAGCACAAACAACTGTAGCGCTAATATTGTATTACATATTGTCTAAAGTATTATAATAAATGGTGCTACCTAAAACCATTTATGTTGTAGTAATAAAGGGGCTACGGAAAGCAGTATGTGTCATAGATCTATGACACATACTACTTTCTATGACACATACTGCTTTCCATAGCCCCTTTATTGACTTAATCGTCGGAGATTTTTTGCCGAGAATACCTCCCGACGTATTTTGCCGGTCTGGTGAGCAAATCGGTTGGAGGACCAATGAAAGGCCGATTCGAGGTGCAACACAACATCAGTTCGTGTCGTCTATGGGACATTTATTGTTTCTCTACCAATTTCACCTAAGATGGCGAAGATGACTATGGCGGACGAGAGCTGGAGAAAAAAACCTTGATGAGAGTTTGGAGGAGGTGTGGGTGGCTAAAACACCTTTTGGAGTTGGGCCACCGCTGGGATGGTCTAGCAAGAAAGAAACGCTGTTACCTTGAGCATTAGTTTGTCGGGGTTGAATCAGGTCTTGATGCTAGAGCTAGATCAGGGAAATTTTGCTCAGGCGAAGGGAAAGAAGGTGGTCGTTCAGGCGGTTGAGAGAGGAGCTCTGGCAGGGGGAAGTGAGCAAATGATACATCTCTCTAGCGAGGAGCTGGACTGGATTATCGGGGAAGCGATTGGTAGCTCAAAGATGTCTCAGCCTCATCCGGTGGTGGAACAACTTGTTGCGGTAGTAGATCACTTATTGCGGGGGTGCAACATTCTAATATAGTTGTGGAGTAGCATGCTACGGTGACCTCTAAGTTGAAGATGTGCGGATGTAGGAAGCGCGAGGAGGATGAGGAAAGGTCTACTGTGTCGTCGGTGGTTAATAAGCCGCCATGAGATGTGACATTGGTGCACACAACAAATTAAATCAAAGAGCTCCAGGACAAGGTAGAGGGACAGCGACAGCCGCGGGTGAAAGGCCATCCCTTCTCCGATGATGTTTTGGACGCAAATGTACCTCTCAACTTCCGGGAACCAAGCATGGTCTACGACGGGTCTACAGATCCTTAATCTTTGTGTTCAAGTGGGTTATCATGCTTTGAAAGAGACGATCACGCCTATTAGGAATGTCGTTATTTATATACATAAACGTCCGTAAGAAATGAAAAATGGCAAATGTATTGTAAAGCTAGGTTTTACACCTAAAAATTCCAACCGGACGTTGCCATTTCTTGAACTGAACTTATAAAGTATTATTCAAAACGTATGCATTTTCTCATCAACTAGAGGATTTTTTTCGTAGTTCTCATCGCAAGGATGACTGTGATGTCACCATTACCACCCAAGATTGGGTAAATTGCCAAACACTTATGCAATTTATAGAAAATTTTTAAGGTACTATTAACGTACTTTCTAGTGTTTATTATCCTACTGCTCAAATAGTTGTAAGACAATGTGTAGCTGTAATTTGGGGTTTTAGAGATGTTTTTACTTGTGATACTGACTTACACGGCAAAATTGTAAGAGATATGTTCAGAAAATAGTTAAAATATTATTTTTTTATTCTCGATACACTTTTAGTTGCAGCTTTGTTAGATCTGTCATTACGTGAAAATGAACCAACTTAAGACATATTATGATATTATGTATCAACTCTCATTTCCCACTGATGTCCCGACTAATAGTGTAAGACCTAACCCACTGCAGCTCGTCGAGCAAGCAAAACTTTTATTGTATGAATTATTTAAGAAAACAACAATCGGACTCGGGAAAAATCCGGCATCATTTTCTTCAATTGCTTCCGTGTCTTATTCTTATCGACAATGGGGATAAACGAAGCAAAAAGCCCAAAACTTTGTTGACTAGTGGCATGAATTTAATCCCTACAAAAATGCTAAGATCCAAAGGGTAAAGAGGACTGAATACAGTGAGCTTGATCACTACCTCACAACGAATTTGATACTTACGATTGCTCGTGAACCAGTTCCACCCCAAAAATTCGACATCTTGGTTGGTGGGAAAGGTGACTTCTATTTATCCAATTTCATGCTTGATGGCCAGGAGATTTTCATTGTCCTGGCCTCAACAGTGGCGATTGAACAAACATTCAGCAAGTGAGAATAGACATTGGATGCATGACGGTCGAAGTTGACCACAAAACCTGGAGGCTCAAATGCTGCTGAGTGACTGGAAGAAGGCCGAAATGAGTGCACAAAAGGTCATGCTAACTGCCGAATATGATGAGGCATCTGATTTTACTGCTATGTTAGTGAAATGAACTTCACCCGGGCTCCTTCAACTCGGACGGCCTCCGTACCTGCAAGAACTCAACGCTCTGGCATTGAGCCTCCAATGCCTAAGTCAGCACTCACCCGAGATAGATGCAATATGCGAGTATAGTAGTGAATGTAGAGAGAGTGTGTTTTAGCGATACCTTAGGCCCCTTTTTTAAGGGAGGTGTACCTTAGTGTCCAAGATGGGCTTGCGCAATACTATTATGACACGTGTCTTAGCCCATGTGTAGGTTTATTCTCCGGTATATCTCTTCTTATCCATTAAAATAGATCTAGTATGATATTCTATATCATCTGTTACTACTAGTGCATCGCCGAAAATGAAGAGTACTATGGTAAATATTGTAAGAGAACTACGAGTATTGTAAGAGAACTACGAGTACTTTAATTCCCGAGGTAAAAGATAGCGTCAGGCCGATGAACTAGCCCGTACCTACATCTTGGTTGGTTCTGGGTCTGTGTTTTCAAGCCTGTCCACCCGTCGGGACAGGCCCGAACCCAGCCCGCTAAAAGGCCATGTCTAACCATATCAAGGAACTCTTTGCATTGAAGCGTGAATAATGTCCTAAGATCGGACACTGTGATTGTCAGTTTAGAATCACTACTTATTACCATCTTTGAATCTAGTTATAATTCTAAATTCAAGAACATGGATGTTGAGCTCAATAACCGCATAGTGGAAAATGAAATAAATATACAAACATTTTTTTTTTTTTTTTTTTTTTTT